GGAGGGAGTTGAAGAAATTGTTTGACTTTTCAAGAGCATAAAGTTTGGGAAACTCTGTATTAAAGAGCACAAACAACATCATGAGCAAACAACGATCAATGCTAATTGTCTCACTTTGTCCTTTATTTCATTTCGATAAATCGTAATAATGAGGTTTTGTTTGCTCTTTTGATATTGAATGCGTGCACAATCCTGATCGCAAGTAAAGTTATTTGCAATCGGCATGTTAAGGTGTACGGATATTTTTCAATTATTTTCTTTTTTTTCTTTTGTGGTTTTGCTTTTTTATAACTCTCCGTAAGATCATACCCTCACACAACGACAAGAAGCATATCAAAGAACGTTTCTGTTTCACTGCTCAAAACTGAATCTCACTAGCTGGCAAATCAAACCAAAAACCGAAACCTAATTTCTTGGCATGATTTTCTCTTTTCCTTTTTCTTTTGATTTGGCTACCTGGCGGCTAGCCGCTATTCTTGCAAAAAAAAAAGGAATGAACCGCAAAATCACGCGATTTTGCATAACGGGATGCCGTTATTGCTATGTTGTCGGGTGACACAGACCAACTAACACCCTACCCTAAATTTGTTCGCGGACGTTACAAAGGTTTTTGCAAATAAAAACTCTTGTAGACGTGTATACACACGGAAATAAACACATAATTCCTTTTTTTTTAATATGTTTATATGTACTATGATGTTTTGTTATTATGCTTTATAATTCAAGGCAAATCATCAAATTGAGGCACATGTAGTACCATGGTAGTTGTTTGAGGGAAACGTGTTCAGTTGAAAACTGCGTTAATATTTATACATATATATATTTTATATTTATATATGTGTTTTTGAACTGTTAACAATGGCGACTTTAAAAAGAAATCCACTTTTTAATGTTCTTTCTATAAAATTCTTTTTACATTAACACCCACAATCATATACCGAAATCAAGTACAAAGTTTCGTATGTTACATCTCCTTAATGGGGGATATCTTCAAAAAATGGTTCATTTACTCTTAGCAAACATTGCTTGAAAATCTAAAGATATTTTTGTCTTTAGTAGTACTTTTTAAAAAATGTGTTTCATCATATCAGCCATTAACTAGACACCTTATTATACGTATCTTTCGCATAAGCGCTCACTTACGTATATGTTGAATTTAACGATCATTATATCAGAAATATAAGTAATATACTTTCAAATGTAAATTCGATTTAAGAAAAATTTAAAGTTAAATTTTTTGTCTATCCATTTAGTGAATTGTAATTATATTTCGATGTAATACTATTTTTTTTCTACCAAATTTAACGATAACAAATATAAAAACTACTACTAGATTTTATTATATTTCACTTTACCTTATTAAACCGCGCGTCAAACAGACAAACTTTTCCCGTCTCTCCGCATATAAGAACTAAATAAAGAAAACTTTCTAACTAATTGATGTGAAGCTTTGCCAAAGATTTGAGCAAATTTAATAATGTTCAGAGAAAAACACACGTACTTTTTTTTTTTTTTATGTATGTAATATGAATTTTTATTTTAAGTATGTAATGAGAATTTCATTAATACTGTTTTGCACGGTTTTCTAGTAAAATATTTGAAGTTTTTTCGTCATACACGATTTTTTAAAGTTGTGGAACATATTCCCAAATTTGCTATAAGTTGCATATATTTTCTGCAAAATTCTTTTCCAGTGCTTTCTTATGAACGTATCTGCCGTGTAACGAAAGAATTAGGTGTATGTACTGTATTGGTCTGACTGGAATTATTTATTTTCTAGGTAACTTAGCTTTCTAAATCAGAAATTTGTTGGTTTGCTAACTCAATGCACGAAAATTGAAATTTCTCTTTTCTATATTTAATAAACATCTGACAAAAAGTAAGGTTATCAATAAAAGAAAAAGTTATCTCGAAAAAAAATTTTAAAGTCAAAATCGGCGAGGGTCGTGAAAGTAAAATAATTTTGAATTAAACTTGGAATTTTTTTAAAAAATCATTGTACATACACGAAGATCGGTTGTCAATATATGAGAAAACAAAAAAACTGTTTAAACGTACTCGAAGCGAACTTTGACTACTACCATGCCTCATGGTATTGTTTCAAAAAGCGTACGATCTTACAATTCTTTATTTCATTGGTGCATCAACTTCCATTAACTTCTTACATGAGAAGATCGATTAGCCAGCCGTAAGTGCTGAAATATGTTATGCATTACGTACGCCATCAATGAAATCTAGACAGTAGAGCTTATTTATAATTTGATACTATTAACTAATAAAAATTTATGTAAATATTTACTTAGTCAAATCAAAAGATAAAAAATCGACGAATGTTTAAAACATATGGAATGATTTTCACAAGTTGCAACAAATCCAAACGTACGTTAGGTTATTTTATCATTATTGTAACTAAGAGCTTTTTTTTTTACCATAAAAGCACTTAATATTAAATAAATATACAAACATATTGAGATCAAGCAAAGAATTATTATACAATTGTAAAAGACACTTATTATACAACTCATGTTTCTAGCTCTTAGAATTATTTTACCAAAATACCGCTGTACCTCTTGTTGCGTTTAATTTTCTAACTTAATAATTAAATTAAGTGATTTGCGTAATGCTAAGCAATAACTATACTTTATTTTCTTTTTCCTTCTTTGTAAACATATATGTAATCTTGAAGCTAAATAAATAAATCGCATAAATTCTTTTTTCCTTTTATATTAAAGATGAAGTATATTTTTATATAGATGAATTTGGAATTCTTGTTCGGTTGTTTGTTTTCCCTTTACGTTAATATCAAAACTGCTGGTGTCTTGCATACCAAAATTGATTAACTTCTCATATAATTTTTGTGGAAATTGAGTCAAAACGCATAGGTTTGGTACATCTCCTGATCGGCCAAGAAATTAATGCTAAAAATGCCGTCTTCAATTGTTCAAAGTATACGCTAGCACTTTCTTCGTCCAATCGGAATAAATTAGAAATAAATTGAAAATAAAGTAGAATTAAAATGAAAATTCTATCGCCAATATTTATTATAATAAAACGGTACATTGTAACGGAGTAGAAGAAAAACTTTTAAAAGTTTAAAGAAAATATAACCGAAATATATATAAAATGTGGAAGAACATATGATTGCAATGGTTTTCAGCAATTTTGTGGAAAATAAGCACAGGTAGGTACATTAAACAATTTAATTTTTTTCATTAATTTATTATTTGCTGATCTACTTTACTAGACGGCTGTGCAAATGATTTCCAAAATATATGAGCGATAAGAACTATTACATTAAAGTAATATGTCAATAGTTTACCTTTAATTTTCTCCATTTTGTAAAGCGCCGCGTTTTTTTACATTTTAACTTGTGATTTTCATAAACTAACGACCCTGTTTTTGCGCACAATTCATTTTGGCGAATTTTATTGTAAGTTTTGTTTGGAATACCAAACTTGAGAGAAAATGGCAAAAACGCTACATATAAACACAATTGCTGGTTTTGTGGCAATTGACGACCGCACACTCTGCCAGAATACGCCTGATATTTTAACGGTTTTACGGTTCGCAGCTATATACAAACGCGTTAATGAAATTTTCCGTGAACTTACGGGAACCTGCGGGAAGAAGCATAACTAACCCAAATTTGAATTTAAAAAACCAAAAAAAAAAAGTCGTTTCACCTACGTTTCTACATCTAATGAATTTTTTGAACGATTTACAAATGTTTGAATAAAAAATTTTAATTTTCCACCAAAAATAAAGTAGTTTTTAGTTCAAAAAAAACTTTTTTAATTCCCCTATCGACAAAATGCCACGTATTTTTCGTAGCTTACCGTATTATGCATTTGAAGTTTTAAATACCCGTATGCCGCCATGAATAATGTTTTAAAAATCAAGGTTTTGGCTCATTTAAAATTTTAGCATAGCTACCTACAATTATACATTTATGCGGTCTTGGCTATTTATAGTATAATTTAAGCCAATAAAAAAAAATAATTTTTTGAAAAATTTACAGGAGTCTATTTTTTTATAGCACTGCATGGCTGTCGAGAATGTTGGACATTGGGACGGTCTATAATTTTTCGGATCTTATTTAGAAATTACTACGCACACTTTGAAATCGGGGGAGCCTCCCTCCCGAAAGGCGTAAATTTGAACAATTTTTACGAGCTTTATTCAATCCAAAATCAAAAATACAAGGCGCTGTTGTGATTCCATTTCGTTTGAATTGTGACAAAAGTCGCTATACACGTCTGAATATTTCTTTCGTTATTTATGAAAATCAACCGTTTGTTCTGTAAACTGCGTAAAATTTCAAGTATTTGAACAGGGTATGCGCCAGTCCTATTCTTTATTTCCAAAATCACAACGAATGATCATTTTATTAGAAGAAATTAATGTAGCAAAAGATTTAAAAAATCGATTTAATTTTTGGTGACTGTATGCGTCATCAATCATAGCAATATAGTCAGCAAAACCACTTTTTTGGACAAAAGACAATTTTTTGACACTCTCCAATACTGGTTTTATTATTGGAATCTGGTAGCAAACTATTCGAACCAACAGACAAATAACTTTGTTGTTGTAATATACAATTTACTGGTACACGAAAAGTAGTCAAAGTTTAAATCGTTTGATGCGTTTGCAACCGATATTACGTTCGTTGCCTTATAGTTTGATTTAGCAGACAAGAACAGATGTTAAACAGAGTTGATATGGAAAAGAAAAGTGATGGTAAGTACATCAATTTTATAGTACAAAATATACAAAGCTTAATTGCCTTAAGAAATTAAATCACTTCTCTCAGAAACCTATTAAATAATTGTAATTTATTTTATTTGCTAAGTTTACCTAACACAGCAACAAAGATTTTATTAAAGATTGTTGATCGGATGATCATAAAACGAAAGTAGGTTGAAGTGTGTAGTGTTTGGATATATTTATTTCGATTTGCGTTTTTTTTCTCTATTTACAAAATTCAGCAATTTTTGATAATGAATTGAATTGAAATGGAAGTAAGTTTCAACAAAAGTCTAACATTTGCGTAAGAATGTGTTTATATTATATTTAAATTTCAAAACATTAATTTTAAAATTGAAATTTTAATTTTAAATTTTTTCAATTCCTTTTTTCCAATTTTTAATTAAAGCATCAGAAATGTACTAAAAAATGCGTCAAGCAGAGTGCCAAAACCTTAATATTATAATTTAATTTGAGTGTGTACTACTTTTCCGATCTGCTCTTATTCAAAGGTAAGGTTCTAGTTTCTCTGAGTTTAATATTTCTAAATATTTTCAAAATAATAAGGAGACAACAAAAATTCAAAAAAAAGAGAACATATATTCATACTTTTAATCAAAATACTGTTTTGTAAAAAAATCTGTTGTGTGTGTCTCAGTGTTTTATTTGGAATAAAAATCTTATAAAAATTCATAAAATATTTAAGGGCATAGTACACGAAAGTCTCTTAAAGGCTATATGGATAAATTTACAATGATTGTAGCATAATACAAAGATTTAAGTACAATTCTAATTTCTATAATTGACTGCCGGTCTTCGCGATTTCTTTTTACCCAACTGAGACATATCGATTTCAATACCATTCGGTAAAATGGCTCTGTTCTCTTCGTAATTAATAAAGCCATTGCTTTGCACATCTGGCTCAGAATTGCGTCTATTTGGATCGCATTTAATGCCCGTTTCGTAATGATATTCACGTTTATTGCCATCGGGATCAACATAACCGTACGTACCTCTGTAAATCAAAATAAAATATTACAAATGTTTTTTTAAATGTGCGGATTATTTACTTCGTTATGCAGTCAGTTCCAATGATTTCCTCCTTGAACGAACCGTCATCATTCTCGTAACCCCATGTAATGCTACCATCTTCATGTTCTTCACGCCATTTGCGTAATGTTTGTGCTACAGGACGTCTACGTTTGACGTGATTTACTTCGCGTTCATCTTGTAATTGATTCTGCTCGATTAACGGGCGCGACTGAATAGGCTTTGGTCTACGCACTGGTACTGGAGCTACTTGAGCTTCATATTGAGGGCGGGATTCACGTATAGCGGGACGTGAACGTATAATACTAACCCGTTCGCGACCTAGAGGAGGGGCAACGGCTACTGGTGGCGCCCTTTCAGCGGCGTAACGATGGCTGCCACCATTTATTATATTAGCTCCTATACCAAAGTCATTAAAAGTAGGTTTGGGACTAGGCGGGCTACTGATTACATTGCGTTCCGGAAATCTAGTCGAATATTGAGGTGTGGTTTGTAGGGGTTCATCATCACTTAATAGATGAGAAATCGGTGTGTCGGGTATAGAATTCACTTCGCCATTGAGAAAAGCAGCTACGGTTTGTTGAAACTGCATTTGTTGGGCTGTGGTCAGTTGGGAGCCAGTTAATTGTTGATCTCGCAGCAGTTGCGGCAAATAAGCGTCGGGTAACTCATCTTCGGGAGCTTCCGTCACCGGTTTAGCTTCTTCAATAACACGCGATGCAATATTGTTGGCTAATAAACTTTGCTGAGCTCTTAAAGCTGCAGGACGTCTAGCGCGTACCGAAGTGGCACGTCCTACAGGGACTGGCACTGCGCCGGGTATCGACAAACGGGGCGGCACTTGAGCTTTGACTAGATAGAGAGTCGAAAGTAAGGCCCATAATAATACGCACTATAAATGAAAATTTAAATTAAATTAGTAGATCACTTAATAGATAAAATAAAGATCTAAAGTAAAAAGAAAACTCTTTGTCACGATTCTCAATTTAATGAGAACTAAAAAGTCCGTATGTGCTTTTGTTTGCTTCGTTTATGCAATAGGCACAAAGGCCGGTACAAAGGTCGGGAATTCAAAAGAAAATGTATGAAATTGAACTGTGCAATCGCAACGACACTTTATTTAGCCTAAAGCTTTATGCCTTAAGTAAGTTTTAATAAATTAAATTTGATTTTAAGTATTTTCTGTTAATTTCAAAATTCATGATGAACCTAGACTAAGATTTGTATATTATGTCGGTGCGAACGGTGGGTAGTCTCTAGTAATAACATGCATGTTCTTTTGATATAGATTCAATCACTGCTCTGATATCATTTTTAATCCCAACACTCATTTTATTGACTTTCATAACGTATGTAACACCCAAAAGGAAGCTTCAGAGACACTATAAAGGGTATATATTCTTCATCAGTGTGGAGTTCTGAGTTGATATGGCCATGTCTATCCGTCTGTGTGGCATTTTATGTTCGCAATTTTCACAAAAATGCGGATATCGATTTGAAATTTGTTGGAAATATTAGAAGTTTTTACACGGAGGTTGGCATGAAAAATAGGCTAAATTGGTCAGAGTATAAGCGCGCAATGGAGCGTAAACTGAACGCAGCTCCGTTTTTCCTAACAAAAATTCGTGGGTTTTTGTTCGTTACTCGGAAATTATTAAAGTTAGAAGGCTGAAATTTTCCACATTTACTTTGCGAAACCCTAGGCTTTATGTGTGAAAACGGGAAAAATCGGCAATGCCCACACAAAGTTACAAGTGATTAAATTATATTTGTTGCACTTTTTTGATGTCTTATGCTTATTTATCATAAGGCAAACAAGACAGAATGCGTAAAACTATTTTGTGCATTCCCCAAATGAAAATGCTATCTGGGTTAATTCTAAAATGGATATGGTAGACATCGCGGTTAATTTTTTCCTAATAATATTAGCGATAATCGTATCAAATAAAAGAGCTTGGAGAATAGAATGCGGAAAGCATAGTGGGGAGTATGCGAGATTCGGCCACCGCCGAATGTAACTTTCTTGCTTGTTATTGTACAACAAGTTTGTTAGGTCATGCAAACCATAAAAAAAAAAATGTTTTATGACTTGTCATTGGTTTCGGATTTTGAAGTTTTTTTTTTTGTAGAGTCGCGGCAATAGCACAGAAAAAACAGATGAGGATTTTCATATATGCGCAAAAATATGGTTAGCCAAGAAATACAGGGGCGCAATAAATATTGGGCTGAAAACTAAAACTGCAAGTTAGGAAATGATAGCAGCTCCAAAATAATATATTAAAATGGTTAACGTAATATGTTTTTAGAAACGGCAAAAGTTACAAAAAAACTTTGATACTCCAAATAATTAGTGGAGAATATTGGGAATATTAGAAGAAAGTTATGTAAGACTTTGAAAAATACTTAAGCGAACTATTGCAAGGAATACGATGGCTTTCTCAATATAATGAAATTTCATTTTTTTTTTTTTTTTTATTATTAAAAATATGTAAAATGAATAAGTACGTGGAAGCTGCGCAAAGATTATTTATTTAATCGATAATATAGCATTACGAATCTGAGAAAGTGCATGCCCGTACATGCAGTTGCATATCATTAGTGCAGAGCGTAGTACCCCTACAGTGAGTATAGCACGAAATCTACATTCCTCTCCTTCGAGTTGCCCCGTCCGATCTAAGCAAAAAATAAGACATAGTGGGCACAGAGTGGTTACAAAAAAAAAAAAAGAAAAGGAAACTTACTGAAAATATGAAAGAGGCGGAAACGAAAATTGCAACCCTTATGCCCATTTCATTTTTGTTGCAAAATTCTTGCTTTTAGGAAACGTAAAATGAACGCGGTTCTAAATACTACAGACACGAAAATTATATGCGAGCAGGTTGCATTTTTTAAGCAGAAAATTGTAATTTGTTTCCGTATACACGAATCTAAATGGAACATTCGGTAACGCATTACATAATACCAGGTAAACCAGGTACTCTCCATTTTAAATAAACACAAAACGTTAATTATCTGCACCAGTCGAACAATCAGATCAATTTTTCACTTGAGTTTTCAATGAATGATATATTCAGTACAGTGTACTTACGACAACAATAAATAATTGTACTAACCGACTCCAATAAAGCCACAAACTTATGTAAAAAACTTAATATTTACCACTTTGTATTTTTTTTTAATCTTGTATATGACCCAAGATCCTTTTACACTTTGACTGCACTCTAAAAGAACCAAATTGCATTTCTGCGCAATACTTACTTTTTTATATTAGAATTAGATCAAGTACTATATATATATGTATTTTTACTTAGAAAAAATAAAAATTTAGTACGTTAGAACATTCGTATATAAATCGTGGATTTTTCAACAAAGATTATCATTAATCCTCTCATTACCTGTGCGTATAAACGCTGTTGTTTTAATTAGTTACAGTTACCCCTAGTTCAGTGTGCAAGTGAAAGAAGTGCGCTCCGAAGTACTTCAAAGTAGTACAGTTATACACCGTTAATTTGTCTTCGAAAACAATTGACATTACAGGGCCATCCAGCCGCACAAAACATTCAAGACCACATTTCATATTACATGACAATCCTGCCGTACAAAGTATTTCACATTACATGATGATAATTACAACAGTTACTAAGTCTAGAGATCCCGTCTATTTTCAAACTCGGTTTATGGTCCTATAAAAATAAGTATGCCGTCACCTTCTTTCTCAAGTTTTGAAATGCTGCGAATATCTGTTTAGCACAAATGCACTCAAAGATAAGGATACAAAAAGTAAACACGAGGGCCGCGAAGTATTAGAATAAAATTCAGAAAGAACTTGCATAGTCCCTTATTCAACAATCCCCTTGCAGAGTTGTATTATTCTCATATGATGTTTGTAGGGTGAATAAGTTTATGTGTATGCATAAGATGATGATATGCTCAAATTGCTTGCCCTAGTTCTTCTACTGCATGACAATGATTTTGTTAATTATGTTTAACTTTGTTTTTCCATTCAATAGGAAAGTGTTTAAAATGACTTTAAGTGTTTTTGTACATGTGCCGGGTATTTAATTAATTAAATTGAATTTTTAACATAATTTCTCAAATATGGAATGCAATAGCGACCATAACCAATTCTGGATCTAAATCATAAAAGCGTTATACTGCTTGCATAAAGCAGTTCGATGAGTGGCTGACCGAACTGGTTAGAAATGTAACATTTTAGGAAAGTGAACAGTAAGCGTTATTTACGCATGCGTATATAAGCATGAGTAGTAGTCGTGCATATAAGGCTTTATAAGAAAAGGGGCACCGTTCGTTAGTACGTGTAACTAAAAAGTTTTATTTCTTTTTAATTTTTGCTAAGCACAGAAAGAAGCAAATAATTTTTGTATTTGTTTTGATTTCTTTTCTTTTTTTTTTGTATTAATGTCGAAACACTAGACAAATAAGATACAGTTAAGTTATTTTATAAAAGCATATTTTTATGTACATGTGCAGCATGTATGTCTGTCTATATGCCTTAACGTATAATGATGAAGAAAAATCTAGTTTATACATATGCGAGAGGCTGATTTTGTTGGTGTATATATATATATATATATATATGTGTATACGTATGTGCGTTTTAAATTTTCAGCAAAAATTCCCGTCTCTACTCGGGTGGGGTACCGTTTTTTTGTTTATATCTTAGTTTTTTTCTTTTATTGTTACATTAGACCAGACAACCGGTTAAATTACTCGGCAGCATAGTGTATTAAGACTTTTTATACGCAACAGCGAAGGATGGGGATAAACTATCTTTGTTATGACATATGAAACGCTAAAGAATTTTCATTAGACGTCTTTTTTTGACCAGATTCAAAGTGAGTTTATTTATTCGTTGCAAATTGTCTGATTTTTATATATATTTCGGAAAAGCTTTAGGTATGCTCTCCTGGTTAAGATCTTTATGAAATTCTCATGTTCGATTTTTACTTAAATATCTATATGATAACTAGTCCGACAATTTTAAGCTCTTTAAATTTCTGCTCCGACAACCTTATAAGGCGAATGTCATGTTTGGGGTTTCTATAAGTAATTAATTCTTAGGTTACGAATTAAGTGAAAAATTCAACTTACACTTTTCATATGACTATTGACTGAAACTGTAACGTTTTATGTTCCTCAATTTTGCAAATTGCGCTGTATTGCCACTTATCTTACTCCTTATTTATTTTACCATTGCTTTATTACTCTATTTCAATCATCGAACTCAATAATTACTTCGCCGACCCAAAATATACAATTTGCTGTAAAAATTCACATCCATATTGATCGTCCGCAAAAATATAGCTCCGTTTTTTGCTTGTCGGTTCGCTTATAATTCATGCCTTCATAAATGAAATTTCCCATGACATGAGGAAAAAGCATTTTAAACATATGTCACGCCGTAATCTCAAAAGCACCAAACCTAAGAGTAGAAAATTTCTTTTTCTATTAGTGATAAGAAGACTCGCAAAACGTAACCAACTACTCGTGTGACACGGTGACGGCTAAAAAGAAGACAATAGAAGTGCTGTAAGCAGGCTAGTGGGTGTATATCAAATCGCTAAATGTTAGGCCCTTATCGACTGAGTATTCACTATAACTACGACCAATGTGAACGCCATCGCGATTAAGATTTGTACCCGCGATTCTTACCTAATCGGATGGTCATTTTTCTTACCCACAAACATATATACGTAAAAACGTTTCACCTAATTTTGTACTTGTAATCAAGTACGCTGTAGTTGGTAAAGCATTGAGCGGTAGTTTAACAAAAGAAGAAAAAAGACGACATTCGCCAATTCTTATTCACGCTTAGCAAGTGCGTATGCATATTTTCTAATGTCGGAAGCATATTTCCATCCGCTGTAAATC